TCTAAGTAGTAGGGAGAATTGTGTCAACAGCTTCTACAAAAGAATAAATAAAATTAGAATTTTTTTTAGTAAATAAGATAACAATTTAGTTTAATTTTAATAAAATTAGCTAACATGAATCTGAAACCTAGTGTCAGTCGTAGGGTCTCATAGTTGTAACTGAAAACTAAATAGAAATATGAATTAATTAATTTGAAACAACATATGATCAGATGATTACTGTAATTCCTGGCATCTATTTTAAGATGATATGTAAAAAAAGTCCCTGTATTGTTCAGCATTTCAAGGCAAAGTGGAACAATTGCTTTTATATTTAAATAAAAGCTAAGAAAAATTGTAACAGAAATTAGGAAGACAGGAATTATTGCAATCATCAAATACACAGAAAATATGAATTGGGAAACAAAAAGTCAACAAATAACCAGTGGAATTGGGAACAGCAACATTGCTACCTCTCTGGACACCTCGCCATTGCTGTTTCAGCCCCTCCGGGATACCACGGCGATTGTCACGGATGGTCCCACAACACACAGTGTCATTGTCTGCAAGGTAATCCGCCAAGGGGATACTAGAATACCAGTTGTCATAAAACACTCGATACCCTTGGTTCAGGAGTCCATCCATAAGACTAACTACAGCATCATAGGCAAGTCCATTGTCCCCTATAGGTGTGTTTGCTTTCCCAGTATAAACCTTAAACCTACAGGTAAATCCTGTGTCACTTTCTGCCAGAACAAAGACTTTAAACCCAAAGCGACAAGGCTTGTCCTTGTTAAATTGCCTTATCCCACTCTTGTGCTTTGACTTTACCATGCGTTCGTCGATGGAAATGTTCTCTCCTGGCTGGTAGAGCTCTACGCAGACATTCTGTACATGGGATATGAGGTTTCGAACTTTTCTGAGCTTATCCTCAGCTAATGCTGGCTCATTTAATGGATCAGAAATATGCAGCATGGCAAGAATAGATGTAAATCTGTCTCTACTGAGGAAGCGTCTTGCCCAAAGCCCATTGTACAGGGCTTGGGTTGACCAATAACGTGAAATTGTGGCAACGTCTACAAAGCCCATATATATGAGGCAGGCCAGAAACTGTCTTATTTCATCAACCGTTGTAGGTAACCACTCTCCTTGTTGGTCGCCATAAGTTGGAAGGTTAGCAATATTAAGCCTAGCATAGGTATTCGTATTATCCACAATGGTCTGGAGGATGTCCTGGTTGAAAAAGAGGGAGAAAATTGCAAGGGGGGTAACATATTGTAATATTCCATTTCTTGTCAGCCTTCCAAGCTGCACACCAGGTGGTCTTCTTGGAGCGAATCGAACCCTGAAAGGCTCAATATCATTGTTATCATATCCATATATTACCTGGCCATTCTGGGCTGGAGCATCTCCTGCACCGACTTCTACAGGCACTTGTATATTGGGATTCCTTCCACGATGTCTCCGTTGCTGGGGCTGCTGATCTCCAATATCTACACCATCATCTGACCTAAAAGAGTTGAAAATTAATAGGGAGCACTATCATTCTGTTTCTATCTCATGATTGAAAAATAAATTGATCTAAATAAGCATGGTCATGACTTACATGTATTCATACACTGTTGAAAATCAAAGTGAAAACTGAGCTATTTCTTGACTGTTATCATTAACATGAAGGTGTATTCTAGACTTAACATTACATGAAACTTCATTCCCCAGCTATATGAAACGATAACAGAATGCAATAATCACAATTATTCAGCGTATTTCTGGAAAAAGATGATGATTGAAAATATAACGAATTAGACTACTCTATTATCGCCCACTCGGCAAATACGGAAGTATGTTACTACAATGGGTTTTGGTGTCTACGCGCCTTTATAGAAAGACATGATGCATGTTTTATATTTAAAACACCACATAGATTTACTGGGGTGTTCATTCAAATGAAAAGAAACAATTTTAGTGGCGATAATTAAATAATCATTCGTAGAATTAATTTTTCAAAAACTAAAAAAAATTACGATCTCTATTCAGTCACGAATTTTACCCAACTTACTCATCATCTTCCAACATATCTTCATCCATACCATCCTCCTCATTTTCGGACATAACATCATCGTCCCCATCTTCCCCAAACCCTCTCTGGAAGAGCTCACGAGCCCGTATTGCAGAGCCTCTCACTGGTCGTTGAGACGCCATTTCTGCTTGTATGGAGATCACGCGCGATTTCGCGCGAGAACTGCCATTTTTAAAATTCAACGGTTTGAAAATTTTCTCCAACAAAAACATAAATTTACACGATACCAATGCATTAACACTTGAAAACTTAGTCCAGGTAAGAAAAACTGAATATTTTGTTCAGTTTTGTAAATAGTTGACGGATGTTAACCCTTTTGTGCCCGACAATCAATATCATGAAATGAGGTCTTTCCATCGTAAAATATTTAACGAAAATAGGGGGTCCCGTAAAGAGAGTTCACACCTTTGAAATCCCGGAGATGACCCTTCTTTTACTATGATCAGTTTCAAATTCAAATGCAGATGTGTGTTTCTTAGGTAAATGACACTAGAAATATCAGCACCATTACATTGTGAATGTTGAGACGACAACGTTGGAGAATCATCTCTAGCATTTTGTTTAGCATGGTCAAGACATAAAAATTCGCTACCTCAGCAGACGACTTGTTTTATTAAACGGAGTGGCTCCAGGACCGACAATTGTCGGTACTGGAGACTGTCCAGGGGTATTTGCTGGGGTACCGACAATTGTCGGCACTCTATCGTCACCTAGTAGTGTCAGATAGAGAACCGACAATTGTCGGTACGCAAGTGGCTGCTACGTGTTTTTGCTAGAGAGCCGACAATTTCATAAATAAATTCACTACTTTAGATTTCGTATTTAACTTCGTCAATGGTAGTCTAGTGGTTAGCGAGCACGACTCAAACACGCTTGGTCCCGAGTTCGAATCCTGGAAGGACCTACTTTTTTCTTTTGAGGGGGGCATAGTTCTTCTTTTGCAGTATGGAATCGTACAGGCATTAACTTGTAGTGAGCCATAATTTATTTCGACAAAAATTGATTCAACTTCCATCAAAATTGTCCTACAAGCTTCAATTAAAAAACATTTTAAAGCTCTTTTCTTGTTCTATCTAATGGGTCGATATATACAATTAGGGGAGGGGATGCTTTCGCCCCCGTCGACCTCTACCCTTACTACGCCATGGCACAGGAGAAATATCTCATTTGGAATATATCACTGTTTACTTTGCGTTTGGTAGCTCTCTCATGCGAGATGGAATCGTGGCCATTAACTAAGGGAGCCAAATGCAACTTCAATCAAAAATTGTGCTATAAGGTATGAGTACCGTAATCCAACACCAAATTCGAAAATTCATAACAATACTTTTGCACATATGGCGTTCGTGACCAACTATGAAACGCTTACCCCCGATAGTGTTATATATCAAAATGCACCTGTCCATATAGGGGTTCGATTGACCTACATCAAATTATAGGGAGTCAGGTTACTTTTTGAGATATCAGCGTCCGTTTATTGTAACTCGCGTTTGCTACCACTTCCTCAATTCTTATATGACGGGCAAACGCGTAGTAAACATGCTCACGTTCGGAACTATTTTGACCTACATCGCTATTTTCGTAATTCAAATGAAAGTTGAACTCCTCTTTATTTTGATACCAAATAGTGGCATACTAGGTACCCTAGAAGCCAACTATGGGTTATTTAGAACGATACCACAGGTTTTTAAATGGACTATATACCATTTGGCGGATGGATATGGAACCTCATACCATACGATAAGCTCTAAATAAAAAACATTCTAGCTATTTTCTTCTATCTAATGGGTAGCAAACGCCCCATTCTACGCCTGATCGGCTCAGGAGAAATATCCTGTCTGTTTAGAATATATATAGCCGTTTACTCTGCATTAATAGCTCTCTAACGTCTTACTTGTTCATGTTTTTTATTGGGTTTTCAACGTTTACTACCATTCCCTGTTCCCGGGCTACCATTTTTTGACTGGGTTTGGTAATCCCCGGGTAACCGGGGCTAATGCCCTCCCCGGGTTTTGCACTTGTTCCCAAAATATCCGTATGATATCTGAAATATCCCCCCGCGCATTGCGCATGCGCCAGAAAATTCAAAAATCAATATTTGTCGGTCCTCTAGCGTGTAAACACAGCATATCTCCCGTACCGACAATTTATTTGTCGGTCCTCTAGCGTGCCACCACATCAGAGTCTAGAGTACCGACAATTGTCGGTACTCTAGCCTTTACGTTTATTAAACCGCTCTGACATCTATCTATAAAACTATTTATCAAAAGCAAAACTCATTCTCCTGATGTTTTGCAAATGCGTCGACGCAATCTTCAGGTATACCTGATTGTGACATGTACTCATAAAACATTTGGTTTATGAACGAATATATACTTACGGGAGTGGGAATGTGGAGGCGGGCCCCTAGGCCCTCGGATCCGCCACTGGATGATATGGGAAATATCTCAGGATGATATCTCAATCTCCGAGCCTTTCGTCCAGTGCAATCCGTACCTCCTGTGCCTTACCTCATGCAGTTCTTAAAATTCCCACGAAATTTACCCTTCTAAATAATTTGACCTCTATATACCGACACCCGACTAATTTATGAAATGTGGAACTAAAAAAGATGGAACGTGCGTTAGATGATAAGCGTGCGTATTCGTTCGGTTATTTTATGCAAAAGTACAGAGTCCTTCACAGTGACAAACATCATACACGTGTCTATATATATCTACAGGTATGTATACTATTTCATCGCTTTACACCTTTGATTATAATGTACCTTTTACTTCACAGCTGCACGTGGCTTGGATTTGGACCAAGAATGTTAGTTATACTCGATTCGGTTCAAAGGACGTATAATTGTGTCTCTTTTTGTATTGGCATCATTATCAGATTATGGGCCTATGACAAATGAGTCGAATGGGGATAACCGTATGGGAACCCGCGCTAGACAATGAATAAACACAGTAAGCTATCAAAGTATTGACGTTAGTGAGTACAAATAGACGCGATCGTGAGTAGTAGTGCACGATATATGACTTATTTTTTAGTAAACTTAATGTCGATAGCAAAACAAAGTGAGGCAGAGAGCAACAAAGGGGGGGGGGGGGTACACAACAAATACTGAGCACAAGCGTTTTCATCATTTAATACATGTAGGTGACAAAATGTCTGGCGTGAGAGTAGAACCGAGATAGTGAAATATATAATATAAAAAGCAAATATTCATGATTGTCGAGCAATAGGTAAAATGTCACTAAAGTAGGTAATACGAGTATAAGCTATTTGAAGTTTTTCAGAAAAGAAACCTGCTAATTCTATGATTTCCTTATTGACAGATGCTATGAAGGTGTTCAGGGGAAAGAGAGTGGTGGTTGATGGGGAGATTATACCTGCCACGGTGTTTGTAGAAGGAGGCAAGATTGTGGACATACAACGTAACATCTACTCTCAGGACTCAAATAGTGTGGAGCTTGAATCGGAGGAGGTGGGAGACATGTAACATGATTTTAGCACTACTTTAGGTAGCAGTTATGGTTTAACACATTGAGTTCTTCGCGACCGTTCTGGCGCTGACAGCCCAAGAGAGAGGACAATAGATAATTGATTTTTATTATTAACCCAAAATATAATCTACATGAAGATTTGATTTCGGTTTAAATCTAGTTAAATGTAGTTCTTGAGTTAATAATACATGAATGAAAACCAATAGCTACATTTATTTGTTCAATTGAGTCTTTTATAGATGGCATACCTCGATGTGGTTCACACATCTAACATGTGAATTATTGGCAATAAAAGCTTAAATCCATCGAAACTCAAAACAAGTATTTTACAAACTTGAGAGATTCAATGTCAATAATATATCGAATGTTTTTTTTTTTATTTTTTTATTAAAATTTTTATTCGAAAAAATATAACATATGAACATATAATACATTAAAAATATATGTACAATACAAGTACAGAAAAACACTTAACTTACTTATCGAATGTTAACACAGAGTAAAAAGGGGAAGACCAAATAAGTATTCCAAGATATTGAATGCAAAATGAACATAGAGGTTTTAGTTCTAGTTTTAGTCATTAGGAGAACAAATCCTCCATATCCAAAACGTTTTGGTATTATCGAAACAATCTGTTTTCGAATCTTGTACAGGGTCGGGCAAAACAAGTAGCTCTTTACTTTCGGAATAATTTTGTCTGTTGTGATGTAATCTTAATTTGATGTGTTCCGTACATATACGTATAAAGTGTATGTTGGATGCGTAAAACAGTGGTGCATTAAACAGCTTCAATTAAGTAATTCAAGAAATCTGTTTCTTGCCAGGTAGTGGATGCTGGTGACCTTGTCCTGATGCCAGGGGTGGTAGACAGCCATGTACATGTAAATGAGCCTGGTCGAACAGCATGGGAAGGATTCAGCACAGCAACCAAGGCTGCAGCAGTTGGCGGTATTACGACCATAGTAGATATGCCATTGTAAGCTCTTCTGCTTTATCCTTTAGTTACCAGTGATCTGTTAAGTTATCATCTAGTTACCTGTTATTGATCCCATGATGGCATGTAATGAGGAATGCTATCTTGATTGAAAGATGGCAGAATAAACTAGTCATAAAATGGTCGGTATTAGGTCGAATTTGTGAAAATATCTTTCAGTATTCTACCCACTACTAGTACTAGCCTTGCGTGCATTAAACACCAAACTAGATAGTGCCCACAGTAAGCGTTACGTACATTCGTATATTTGTTTTATAGAAACAGTATTCCATCAACTACTAGCTTGAGTTCATTGAACATCAAACTAGATAGTGCCCGGGGTCAATGTTATGTGGATGTTGGATTCTGGGGTGGTGTAGTGCCTGGCAACCAGGTTGGTTAAATTATTTCTTCGATCTTCAGATAACGCTTTTATCATCATACAAATATGACTGCATCCCAAGTAATAATGGTGAAGAAAAGATAGTTAGATTAGTGCTTGTTTGCTTGTTCGTGCTGATGAACCGCCGATCGTTCCTGAAATAATGGTCAAGAACTTCAAATTTGCAAAATGTTATATTTATGAAATTCAATGAATCTTGTTTTTAGGATGAGTTGGTCCCTATGGTTAATGCAGGAGTTGCAGGTTTTAAATGCTTCCTCATCAACAGTGGAGTCGAGGAGTTCCAACATGTTACAGAGGAGGACCTCCATATAGCTATGAAACAACTTGTCGGAACAGAGAGTGTTCTTCTGGTAAGACAATTCTACTCCAAGCTGAGGCTGTCTTTTATTAGTTTCAAGTGAAAAAACGCAAAATCATTTCGAGAAATATGTGACATTTATGTTTTTCTGTACAGTTTCATGCAGAGGTCGATTGTGCAGGTTTGGGACAAAATAATACCAAAGAGGAAACTGCGGAGTCAGCTGATGATCGCAAATACCAAACATTTCTTGAGTCGAGGCCTGACAAGATGGAAGTCGAAGCAATTAAACTTGTCTGCAAGTTATGCCTACAATACAAGTTAGTCAAAGAATCATTCAGAACATATCGATGTTACATATACGATGTACATAACACAGTAATTATGAGAATTAAAACGTACTCGGCCAAAGGAATCCTGTTTAGAAACCAATAATGACAAGCGAAGTGGGAAACAAGCTTGTTAATCTCATTCGAATTAACTTATTTCAGTTGATTACAAAACCTACGCGATATGATGCTATTCTTGACTTACTGATTACTGACTCTCCTGCCTTTGTTTGACAAGAAGGGGTTGAGCCTCCACTAGCAAACCTAGATCACAGTTACATTCATGGGGAACTTAATCTTAAACATAATGCCACCGTAAAATATCAACGTACCATTTTTGACAATAATAACACAGATTTTATTAACCTCAATGATCATCTATTAAGTGTATCATGGGAAATAATTTACTTTGAAAACGAACATACAAACATAGCTGTATCTAACTGGTATGAATTATTTTGGACGGTCATTGATAGCTTCATAAATAAGAAAATGATAAATATTTCAATAAAGATAAACCTTGGGTATCCAAAGAAATTAAACAACAAATTAACAAAAGGAACAAACTTCACTCAAAATGGAAAAAATCAAATAATTTTGCAGACTTTTACAATTTCAAGAGAAAGCGAACTGAAGTTAATTTCTTAATTTCTTAGAGGAAAAAATAGCATAGAAAACTTGAAACTAAAACTGGCAGATAGAACGACTACTACTAAAATGTACTTTAAAATTTTGAAGATGATGTATGGTCCAAAAGTTTCACAAGGCATCCCCTCTCTAATTGAAAATAATGAAACTATATATATTACTGATTTGAAAGAAAAGGCCAACCTATTAAACAATTTTTTTGCAGCTCAAACAATTCTTCCTTCAAACCTAAATGACCCCTTACTTCCTAACATGATATACAAAACTGATTCCCAGCTTAGTTTTATACAATTTGAGGATTTTCAAGTTTATGATATATTGATCCATCTTAACGTATCAAAGGCAAATGGACCTGATAATGTTACCAATCGGATTTTGAAGGAATGTGCCATTGGTTTATCACATAGCCTTTGTGGTATCTTCAATAACTCACACGCACATGTCTCGCCTATTCTCAAAAAAGAAGATAGACCAATCTCTCTTTTGTCATGTATATCCAAATACTTTGAACGTTTAGTATTCAATGAATTATATAACTTTTGTAAAATAAACAATGTCTTAACTCCAGGTAATTCTGCTGGTTTTAAACCAAACGACTCAGCAATAAATCAACTGGTAAACTTAGTAAACAAAATTTACAAAGGCTTGGATGATCGAAATGAAATTATGATAATCTTTTTAGATATTTCCAAGGCATTTGATAAGGTTTGGCATACTGGTTTAATTTACAAGTTAGAAACAATTAGAATTTCTGGTCAACTTCTAAAATGGTTGGAGTCATTCTGACTGGCGCTACATTGAAGCAGGTGTCCCTCAAGGCTCAATACTCGGACCTCTCCTATTTCTGTTTTATATCAATGACACTGTTGAAAATAAAGATACCGACACCAACCTTTTCGCTGATGATACCTGTCTACTCGAAGTGGTAAACAACCCAATATTTAGCTCAGTTAAAATGCAGAAAGATGGAAAGTTACTTTTAATGCTGCCAAGTCAAAACTTCTGATAATCTCACTTAAACAAAATAAATTTTATTATCCTGATATCAAGTTGAACAACTCTGTAATTCAATCAGTTGATCACAATACCCATTTAGGACTTACAATACAATCAAATATGAGCTGGCATCTTCATATTAACAATATTAATAAGAAAGCAAATACAAGACTTGGCCTCCTCAAAAAGAACTCGTTTAAATATAACTTAAATCAAAATGAACTAGAAACATACTTTCCAATGGTCTGATCAGCACTTGAATATGGTAGCGTCCTTTATAATAATTGCCATTTATTCCAAAGTAAATCATTAGAAAACATCCATAGAGAAGCTGCAATATTATGCTCACATGCATATAGACATAATGATATCCTTAACTTTTACACCGGGACTCACTCAAAAGAAGAAGACCATTACATATTACCACCATTTTCCATAAAATGGTTTATCAAAATGCCCTGCTTTCTTTGACTGACCTCTTAACCCCTCTCTCCCAAAAGCAGACCAGATATAGCTTAAGAAACCAAAACTCTTTCAATATACCCTTCTGTAGACTTAAAGATGTAAATTTAAGAGCATACTAAAACTTCGTTCGATGGGATTAAAAGAAGCTAAGACATTAACCTCTGTCAAAGAAACCATTATCAGATTAATCATATGCTAATTACCCTGTTGATGTTTCTTGAAATTGTTTACCTGGGAGTAAATACGATCAAGTTTAATAAATGCTCTTTTAATTTTTATTATGTCTTCGACTTAAGTATTATATAATTTCGTTTTAATATTAAAAATATGTAAATATTGCTTACAAATACAAAATAAGTTGTGGGAGGCTTATTAATTATAAATTATGTTGTTATGATTAATCAATGTGCAACAATTGATACAAAAGTATTGTCATTAAAATATCATGACAAAAATATCTGCATGAAAAAAGTTATGACCAAAACATGTTTATGGCAGTATAGCTTACAAGGCTCATTTGATTTGTATTTTTAGAACTAAAATTAAAGCAACGAAAATAAAAAATGAAAAAATTAACGATTACAGAAAATAAAAATCATTGATCGTCTTCGATGGATCATTTCTTTACTCTTGAACGTTAAATGTGTCAGCCATTGGTTATTACTTACACAGGGGATCAACTAGAAAAGAAGTTAAAAAAACCGCATAGACACGCCGGATAGATGCAGTATTATTTTAAAGAAGAATTATCAACTATTTGAAGGGTAGCCCTTGGTATATTTCCTTTGATCTCTTAAATAAAAGATCAGGTCTCACTATTTTCTTTTTGGTAATTTCTTCATAGCTGCATACATTAATATTAACACGTGATGATGTGTTTTTCAGAGTTAGATGTCACATTGTTCATCTATCCGCGTGTGAGGCTCTACCGATAATTCAAAGCGCAAGAGATAGTGGCGCCCCCTTAACTGTGGAGACGACTCATCATTACCTCAATCTAGCTTCTGAGAACATCCCAGATGGGGCAACGTATTTTAAATGCTGTCCCCCTGTCAGAAACAAGAAAAATAGAGTAAGTCCAACAGCACTCCGTCGCTTTAGCTTTCTTGTACCATTCTACTTCGGCCATTCGGCTTGATATGATACGTTTCAAGACTGGAGACCACTGAGATGAATAACGTGTCAGTATTTCCAGCTCTACTGAGAGTGGATGCAAGAACTTACCCATAGAAAACTATCAATACATCCCAGTAGAACACATCCAGTGATTTTAAAAACTGATGACTGGTTAAGTAGCCACATGAACTATAATCCATTATTGTCTACCGAGGGAGATAAATTGAATGAAGAAAATAAAAAATTAAATGCATTTGTTCACAGGATCTGTTGTGGAAGGCTGTGATGAGCAGAGAGATTGATATGGTTGTGTCCGATCACTCACCATGCACATCGGACCTTAAACACCTGGACAAGGGGGACTTCCTGGCTGCATGGGGAGGAATATCCTCTGTTCAGTTTGGTAAGAGAGTCTAGCTTAAAACCCATTGTTGATGTATCAAATAATGAATGAATGTATCAAATGCTATATTGGCGAGCGGACGTCATATCTCAAGTTTTAGTGCCCGTAAGGTCGCTAAGCGGAAATTCTAACACGGTTACCGAGAGCTATGGTCAAACTGTGATTTGACCACCATTACGCCCTCAATTCATTTTGTCCCCTTCAAGGATCAGAAGTCAGAATAAGATCAAATCACGATGTTTATGCCTAAATTATTATCATTTTTTGTAGGGTTATCCTTATTTTGGACAGCTGGTCAACAGTATGATGTCACAATACTGGACTTGTGTCGCTGTCTGTGTGAAAATACCTCAAAACTTGCAGGTCTCGGCTCGCAGAAGGGCAGCATCACTGTTGGACGCGATGCTGATTTCGTTATTTGGGATCCAGAAAAGTCTTGGTCGGTGAAAGAACAAATGATTCAACATAAGAATAAAGTGAGTAAACACATTAAAAAAGAATATTCAACAAATTTAATTGATTATGATTAATTTAAATCAAGAACGGTGGCATTTTCAGTCATGCTGTTACACTCGCCTGGTGTTCACAAGAGTCCTATACAATTTACATTAACTATTACATTTAATTTAAATCTTCATCCTAACATAATGATCTCGTACCTAAATTAATTCATTGCACGGCGTTATAATACCAAATGTAATTTAATTAATTCTATCTTCTTTGCAGCTGACTCCTTATATCGACACAACTCTGAAAGGAAATGTCAGTAAGACAATATTACGGGGAAATGTTGTTTATGACGAACACACTGGATTATCGGAGAAGCCGTTTGGACAATTGCTTTTAGACATCAAATTCTGTTGATTTTGTATTATGAATCCGTGGCATAGTATATGCGCAGCGACATTTGAACCGATATTTAGGGAGGGCCTTTTGGCCTTGCCCCCCTGGATCCGTCAATGATTATCGTTCTTACATGCCTCGAAAGAGATCCAAATCCTTTAAGTAAAATATACAAACTAAAAAGTTCAAGAGATATTTTCTCACAACTTTGTGATACAATTGAGAAGGAAAAAGTTTGCATAATTCCACAGACTTACTGTTTTCTCCCTAAAATCTAGAGGCCTTAAATAGCAATCTTGCCTCTCAGATAAGTATGGGCTAGATACCTTTACTATTGATTTTATGACATAGTGTAATATACCAAACTGTTTGAAAATAGTTAACCTTTCAAAAATGATATATAAGTCAATGAACCATATTGAACGTAACTATTTTTATCCCATACTTGGACGTGTTACGGGTACATAAAGCCGGTTTGTAAAAACCTATATTTTCATCAGCGGGCAGATATAGCTTCACGTCCCGCTCCGAGCGGGCAGATATCTGCCCGCTACGTCATAATCGCTGTTCCCGTATTGGTTCTTTTTGTTAGTTCGCATACTGTAAACGACAATGGAGAAAAACGCAGACAATCGCGATCTGATCGCGATCTGTTTGATGCTTTAGAGAAGGGAAGGAGCAGTATGCCCTGTTAATAATCAAATATTTGAACAGGAAAATCTGGCTACGGACAAGAATACAAAACTGGACATGAAGATTTTAAAATAATTCCACGGTTGGTTGCAACAATTGAACAATGTGATTGGTATGGGATAAACAGATCATCCAATAGTCGGTTCAGGATATTTGGATTATCCCTTGGCCAATATAATATATCTTCCCTCGGGACCTACGGCCCTCGGGCAGATATATTATATTGGCCTCGGGATAATCCCAATATCCTGAACCTCATATAGGATAATCTCTATTTATCCTGATTTAAAGTTGGGTATTGTTTTTTGGCCCACCATGTATTTATATTTGTCACTCACATTCGATCGATTCATTGTTTACATGATTGCCGGTGTAAAATGGTAGGAGGTCCTCTCAAATTATGGTCCTACTCTCCATTGATTTATATGGTGACCTAAATACAACCCTTTCCCTTATTATCTTATACACAATCAGGGCCAGTTAGGGCCGTTTAAAAAGGGGACCATAATCCCCAGGGGACCATAATTTCTTTCACACCGGCATTTCTCAAAAATCTATGCATTCTATCGAATGCTGGTAGTCATTTTATAAGCAACCAGTTCATGTTCAACCATTTGCAGAATTTTGAATCGCAGACGGTATAAGTCAAGGAAGAGCAACGAGTCCCCCTTTATTGGCAATTGACCCCTGAATACGGCTGTCAATATCTCAAAATGTATTACAACTAATTTAGTGAAAACACATCATTCATTTCCTCATAAATAAGTTATAAAAATGTTAGATGTTGGTTACAAATATTTTTGAAGTTATGGTTGCTATGGTAACCTCAATAACGCTATAGTGGGACAGGGTAATATTTGCGAAGTTTAAAATTAGTTAACTTTTGAATAAATGATCAAAATCCCATTAAAAGATTGATTATTTCTTCAAATGGCTGTTTTAATAGTAGCTGCTGTTTATGTCCTATTTTCATAAGTGTGAAATCATTGTAAATCTCTTATTATACAGAAAACATGAACGCCTCGTGATACATTAGACAAGACATGAGACAATGAGCGTTCAGTTCACCTACGTAAAGCAATGCGTAAAAAGCGATCGAACAGAGCCATAGATTCAAACATGTTTGACTAGGACAACACATTATGTCACAAATCTGGCATGGTCTACAATATTATCAGCAACAACTTAAATAAATATAGAAGTATTAGGACAGAAGGTATTAGGGCATTTTCCATATTTCCCAGATATACTCCCCTTAGTTGTGTTTGGACTTTGGACCAGCCCTAAAGAGGGACCCGAATATCTCATATTTTAGAACATTTGTTGAAATCAAGAATGCTGCCGACACCCGAGTAGGACTGCAAAATGTGTACTTGATAAATAGTGTTTTTCAGATTTTCAATATGTCTTATGACGTTTTTTTTACCCCTGCTAATGATAGGCATAATTCGACCTAAAAGCCCGCCGTATTTATAACGGCTATACACAAATATGACGCGGGACATATGTAGGTATCTAAATATAAGGTCAAATATCGCTGCGGATATATTATGTCACCAACCCCTTAATTAGACGTCCAAGTTTATACCATGGACTACTGTGCCAAATTAAGCGTGACAGTTGAACGCGCGGGATATAAGGTACAACACAAGGCCGATGAAATTTGAGCAAACTGATTTTTATATGTAAATGTCTGTAACAATATCCTAGACAGTGAACATTACAGTGAATTTAATAGTTAAACCTACACAAACTGCAAAGGCCAAACTGCCCTAATACGTCACTTCCGCTGAATAGAAAAGTAGTTAAAAAAATTAATGTAGTCCCAACACAATTGTGAGCATGACGAGTCAGTAAGCTAGTATGTAGGTACAGTTGTCATCTTTTTGCAATGACAACATGCCATTTCTTCTGAAAATGCGTTTATTTGGGTTATCTGAAGGGAAATTTCGAGTCAAGTGGCGTATTAATTTTGCCTTCATTTTTGTAAATTTCAATTTCTGTCGACATAGAGAGGGGGTAGTGTCACAATTGACCAATTATTTCAAAAATAAGATGTTTGGCCCCTATTGAGTATGTGTCAAAATGTAGCTTAGACATAGCTTTAGAACTTCAGATAGGCCAGTGAGGCCACATAAATCCATAACTCGAGATAAAAAAAAGTCAGGCGTTTGCCCTTTTGCCCATTGACTAGTATGGTGACGTGAATTAGGGCTGTTTTGCCAAATATAGTACACGGTATAACGCGCAGGTCAATAGACCAATCCAGTAAATCATGCCATCAGTTGGTTATGATATCATCTTCTTACAATATCAGTGCAGAAATAGGATTGCTAAAATTGCTTATTTTCATAAAACTTCTTTCAATTTTGTTTACAAACATTGCTGCCTGTAAAGTATGACATCCTAAATCTAGCTACCAATATACCCTAGTTTCCTTGGTTCACAAATAGGGGTCAGGATTTATTTGAAAGGTCTATTTACCTGAGATACGTAAATACGCAAATTCGAATTCCTCGAGCTGTACCTTACCGTTACACCGCGCCTACTACTAGGTTTAACTATAAAATTCTCTGTCAAGTTCACTGTCTAGGATGTTATTATAGACATTTACATATTAAAAATATCTAGAAACTAGACCAAATCTTTATGAAACGATGAAAACATCAGTTTGCTCAAATGTCATCACCCTCGTGTCGTACCTTACCCTGCGCGTTAAACTGTCACGCTTAATTTGGTACGCAGCCTGTGCTTAAGAAATATATAAAAAATCAAGGATACCATCTGATCGGAAATCTAGAAATAAACAAACGTCCTCCATTTGCAACTTCACTGTATACCTGTATCCCTTTTAAAGAAATACGGGCTACAGTATTAAGGTAGGGTAGTGTGTATTTATATATAACGTTAATAACTGGTTGGAAACAATGTCTCATAAACTCACTCACGATGCCCATGTCAAGCAGCGTGCCTACTAGGCACGCAGTTTGAAACTCTGACAAACTGCGCGCATATTTCAAAATGTGAGACGGGGAGGACACGACTCCCAAAAAGAGCCAAAATACGAAAAATACAAGGTTAGTCTCGTTCTAAAGATACTACCATTCTGTGAAGATCAACTTAATTTACTCATAGTACTCAATGTTTTTCCCGATGTTAACCTAGTTATCTCAATATAAGGGTCTTAAGTAACTTCTGTGCTCAAAATTTACAGTGTAAAGTTATATCTTTGTATTTTTATCGTCATATGCCGTTTATTCAGCCATTGTGTCTGTGTATGCTAGAATATATAGGATCACTCCATCTGATTAAAGCAGCATAGTTTGTGTTCAAAACGATAATACGCCATAAACGTGATTTAAACATTTTTCTTGTCAAACTGCGCGCCTATATTCACATGTATTTCCCAAACTGCGTGCCTAATATTTCCAAACTTGCCTATCCAAGCTTGTTTTGTATTATTAGAAAACGTAAGCGCCATATGTAAGGCACATATGTGTCTAATAGTAGAACCCTATAATTGAAACACTATGAGAGTCCATCCACCAAATGGTGATCTGAAAATAAAATACTTTCTTAAGTCCCAACTTAATTGTCACTTCTATTATACATTTTGACTTTCAAAATGAAAATCTCATAAAATCTGACGATAAAGCAAAATTTCCAAAGCTACATCGAAAACACCTACACGTACCTCTGTAGAAATTCCAATGATAATATGTAGTTTTAATAGTGTATGCGCACAGATTGTAATTTCTGGCTAAAATGGGCGCGCAGTTTGTGGTTTATTTCTTTTTAATCTCCTGATTATCTGTTTTATTTCGAAATATTTTGAATTAAACATGATAAATGTGTAAGGAATTAAATATGAAACGAGTCTAAAGTATTTGTCATTTATGTTTAAAGTGCTAGATCGATTTACGTATAAATTCCCATTAAATCAGTGACGAAAATGCCATTAATCTGCTTATGTTTTAAAACTAAGATTCATTTGCACACAGTTTTTGCTAGTATTTGCAAGATTCGTATATTCGCCACAGAATGAACGCATTGAACAAGAAAACAATGCAGGATAAATGTCTTTAAATAACGTTTCAAAATACAGACTCCAACTTAAATGATCCAATGTTCTTAGGCACGCAGTTTGTGATCGAAACAAACTGCGCGCCTAAGTAGGCGCGCAGCTTGACATGGGCACCGTGTCACTTTCTCTTTAAACTTAACACACACCAATGTGGCACAATTGGACGCCAATAGACTTAACATTGCGAAGGACCTCGTAGGACTTCGTTAGGCTCTGCACCATGTGACCCCGTGGGAGTCCGACACGCCTAACCATCGACAAGGTACAAAATATACCGTTGTACACTTTAGATGTACGGTGTCACTATTAACAGATTTGAAGCAAAAACTATGATACAGGTGCGATGTAGGTTTTAAAAATTAACCTTGGGAATTCTTGAAAGATTTCATGTTTAATTTCGTGTGTATTCGCTTTGGAAGACTTTTAGCTTTCTGATTACGTAAAAAGATTTTCGACCAATGCTCGTTTTTTTCGTATACACTGTACTTAGTTAATCTACCCACAATAAATATTCAAGTATTTATTGTAATTTAAAAAAATCATAAATGTACGTTGTCAATTCGAATGTACGTTGTCCATGTTATTTAAATTCATAAGTATAATATTAAACAATGTAATGATTTCATTTCAAAATTCATTTAGGTTTTTATGAGTAACAAGTGATCTTTAACGAACATGTTGAATTATCCTTTTTGCTTTTTCATTTTATGGAAGTATTGTTGTGGTGGTGGTTAACTTGTGCCCATTTGGTGTTAGCTTCCAGCCCAAACTCCCATCCAGTGTCTCCGATATGTTGACTAGCACTACCACGGAGTTTGCCTCCAGCCTCTTTGATTATTTGGTGTCTGTACGTTACATTTTGTTAGTTACATTGATAGATAGATCTACTGATCTATACTAGCTTATTGAATATGACTTTTTAAAATCCCGTTAATGATATATCTGGAAAGTTTCAAATTCTGTAATTGTTCTGTTTAAATATCAAAGCATCTGACCCCCTGTCTGTTAGTGTTATGAAAAATACATTGCCTGCATTAGGGTTAACTGTGAATTGAGTAAGTTCAATGGGACAACGTACATTCGAGTTGACAACGTACACTTATGATTTTTTAAATTATAGCCAAAACGTTAATTCTTATTAAATCTTCAACAGACCTTAATTGTGTTGTTTAAAGAAACATATTCTCATAAAAATATTCGACACACTTAGACGGCAGGGGAGGAAATCTGTAAAAACAAAACATTTTTCGACCGATCAATTAAATGGGTAGATTGAGTACGAAAAAAATCGAGCACTGTTCGAAAATCTTTTAACGTTATTAGAAAGTTAAATGTCAAAACACAAAAAATCAAACATGAAATCCTTAATGTATTCCTCAGATTATTTTTTTAAATCGTACATCAAACCTACATCATTGTCTTTGCTTCAAGTCGGTTCAATAGTGACATCGTACATCTAAAGTGTACTACGCTATATTTTGTCACTGTACCTTGTCGATGGTTAGGCGTATCCGTAGTACTCGACGGGGCATCATTCGTGGGACAAAGTCCCCGTCAAGATTGAACATGTTCATTCATTTCATTGGACACTGTGCGACCTTTGATTTGATGTGTCAGTTGAGTTGGGATCAAAGTTGAATGACATAATTTCCATGGGACTTCATGGGGCAAACTTGACACGGGGTTTTGTGACATTTTATTTTACTTTCACGGAAGATTTGGAAAAATAGCCTGGAATATTATTCTGATTTAGTTTGATGAAAGTATATGTTTTGACAGGCATGGCAAATTTTCAAAATATTTGTGAATAAAATGTTCGTCTAGAACAATTCAAGCGTTGGGTTGCGGACAGCGTTCGACCAATAAACTGGTATCTAGTTAGTTAAAATATCCCAGTTGGATTGATGAATATGGTACATTACCATATTTAACCATCTTCAAAAGGGAAAGTATAATTTACATTTTAATTTGCAATAAAATAATTAGCATTTCTATTATTTGGCTAGACAGTATGACTTATAATTTGAGTTATTCAATCGATTGCATTTGCATACCCAATACTGTAAATCACGTATTTTATCAGTTCTTGCAAATAATACTGAATGTCTCCATCAAATGCGTGCAGGCTGTTTGGTTAGTCCGTCCTAATTATATATCAATTTAGCGGTGTGAGTCTACTCTCTGGTGACGCAAAAATACTGTGTTCAAAACCTTCTCAAAACCTTTTTGTATTTTTAAAATTTAATAAGAAGTTTATTTTGACAATTTAATTAACATTTAAAACCGAAACAGTAACAATATTTTTAGTTAAGGCAGCTTGGTGTATTTTTAAAAACATTATAAAGTACGTATTTGCTAATCAATCATTTAATTTGCAACAACGTTGTAAACGTTGCCTATGCGTGAATTCTTTCTGACTTATTCGTAAAAATTCGAATCCGATATTTCTTCGATGTATGCTAGCTTTCTATGTGCGAATCGAGGATTTGCAGTAATTTGTTAACATTGTATTGTTAAATAGCACAGATTCATGAATGAATTGTTCGTTTTTTTAGTTCATCCTCACTGTTCCACAGCTGGATGACTCTAACTATGCTTAAACGTAGTAATAATAGAGAAGTTAAATTTATTTTACAACATAGTGAGTTTTATCTTACTTGCCAGGATCACTGTTCCACAGCTGGATGACTCGAACTGCAGTTAGTATTATTCAAGATGGTGGCAAAAATTATTTCGTTTTTGATAAACCAACGATTTCAGGTAAACTAAGTTGAATGTGGATTCTAAATGTTTCGCTATGCAAACTCATAAGTAAACAGCCAGGAGAAAATACTCAGAAACCCGTATTAATAGTAAATTTTAAAGAATAGCTTCACTTAGACTGAACTTGATGATACACTAACTCAAACATGATATTCACCGTTGATGACACTAACTCAGATGGCCATGCATGTTATATTCATTCCATAGAGTTAGTGTCATCCATCGTTTCAGTTAGTGTTATTCCTATTTCATCAACAAATTCAGTAAGAGTCATTCTAAGTAATGCCGTTTTCTTTTTTCTTCAATATCGTGGGTGTTTGAACGTTTTCTCGTGGCTGTTTATAATTTGAGCTTCATTAGTTTGCATGGCGAAATAATCCACATTCAATTAAGTTTAGCCGAAATCGGGAATTTATCGAAAACGAAAGAGTTTTGGCCACCATCTAAAATGATACTAACTGCAGTTCGAGTCATCCAGCTGTGGAACAGTGATCCTGGCAAGTATCCTGTTCAAACATAGAAACGAAGTTGTTGGATTTACCTTTATCTATCAAAATAATCGATATACGAAAAGTTATTAAACTGAAGAATATATTGACGATACAGCATTATGTAAATAACAATACTTTTAAACCACAGGATTTACAATTTGGATTAGTGACATTGACCTCATAGAATTTATATAGCAACGGATTTATTATACAATTCGACAAGGAAAGAATATATATCAAGTACTACAACGTATTTATTAACACCATTCGTTCATTTGGATTATAGATAACAGAAAATAGGGAAATCAGTCAATTTGATGGATTTCAACATATATTATTGTCAATATGCTTAATAGAACAAAATGTACCAATTTGCTTGTGTTACTTTCGCTCTTAAATACATGTGTCTTTCTATACGTGAGCCAAAACTATTTAATCAGGTTCAAGATGCAACCAAAGGCGGGTATACTCGAACTTAGACCAAATACAACAGCCACTATACCTAAATTAAGGCTGGATACTACAACGACCAATTCTCCTACACTTTACAAGAAAACAACAACCAGTATGATCAGTACGCATGAGCTTTATAAGAATACAACTACCAGTGTACCCAAACTTAAACTAAATACAACTACCAGTACTCAAAAACTTAAGCAGAATGCTACGATCAGTATTCCCAAACTTAAGCTGAATACAAGGACCAGCACTTCAAAACTTTACCAAAATATAACAACCAGTATACCCAAACTTAGGCTGAATACAACTACAAATACTCAAAAACTTAAGCAAAATGCAACAGTCGGTATACCCAAACTTAAGGTGAATACAACGATAAGTATACTTAAACTTTACCAAAATACAACAACCAGTATACCCAAACTTAGGCTGAATACAACTACAAATACTCAAAAACTTAAGCAAAATGCAACAGTCGGTATACCCAAACTTAAGGCGAATACAACGATAAATATACTTAAACTTTACCAAAATACAACAACCAGTATACCCAAACCTAGGCTGAATACAACTACAAATACTCAAAATCTTAAGCAGAATGAAACAATCGGTATACCCAAACTTAAGGTGAATACAACGATGAGCATATTTAAACTTTACCAAAATGCAACAACCAGTATACCCAAACTTAGGCTGAATACAACTACAAATACTCAAAAAGATAAGCAGAATGCAACAATCGGTATACCCAAACTTAAGGTGAATACAACGATAAGTATACTTAAACTTTACCAAAATACAACAACCAGTATACCCAAACTTAGGCTGAATACAACTACAAATACTCAAAAACTTAAGCAAAATGCAACAGACGGTATACCCAAACTTAAGGCGAATACAACGATAAGTATATTTAAACTTTACCAAAATACAACAACCAGTATACCCAAACTTAGGCTGAATACAACTACAAATACTCAAAAACTTAAGCAAAATGCAACAGTCGGTATACCCAAACTTAAGGCGAATACAACGATAAATATACTTAAACTTTACCAAAATACAACAACCAGTATACCCAAACTTAGGCTGAATACAGTTACAAATACTCAAAATCTTAAGCAGAATGAAACAATCGGTATACCCAAACTTAAGGCGAATACAACGATAAGTATACTTAAACTTTACCAAAATACAACAACCAGTATACCCAAACTTAGGCTGAATACAACTACAAATACTCAAAATCTTAAGCAGAATGAAACAATCGGTATACCCAAACTTAAAGTGAATGCAACGATGAGTATATTTAAACTTTACCAAAATGCAACAACCAGTATACCCAAACTTAGGCTGAATACAACTACAAATACTCAAAAGGTTAAGCAGAATGCAACAATCGGTATACCCAAACTTAAGGCGAATACAACGATAAGTATACTTAAACTTTACCAAAATACAACAACCAGTATACCCAAACTTAGGCTGAATACAACTACAAATACTCAAAATCTTAAGCAGAATGAAACAATCGGTATACCCAAACTTAAAGTGAATGCAACGATGAGTATATTTAAACTTTACCAAAATGCAACAACCAGTATACCCAAACTTAGGCTGAATACAACTACAAATACTCAAAAGGTTAAGCAGAATGCAACAATCGGTATACCCAAACTTAAGGTGAATACAACGATAAGTATACTTAAACTTTACCAAGATACAACAACCAGTATACCCAAACTTAAGTTGAAATCAGCAACAAGTATACCCAAACTTGAATTGAAGCCAGTAACCAGTACACCCAAGCTGAATACAACTCAGATTTGTCCAGAAGTCACAAAATACTTAGGTAAGACCTTTATGTTCTGTATAAAATATAGAAATCGTTCCGTCACCAAAAAAATGTACTGCAGGTCAAATTATATTTGAGTAGTATCACGCCTAGCCATCGACAACGTAGAGGGACAAAATGTACCGTTGTACACTATAGATGTGCGGTGTCACTATTAACAGATTTGAAGCAAAAATAATGCAGGTGTGATGTAGGTTTTAAAAAATAATCTTGGGAATGCTTGAAAGATTTCATGTTTGATTTCGCGTGTTCGCTTTGGAAGATTTTTTGCTTTCTGTTACGTTAAAGATTTTCGAACAATGATTAATTTCCTTGATCATTTTTCCCCTTGTCGCCCAAAAGTGTCGATTATTTTAAATTCATCTGACCCCCTGTCTGTTAGTGTTATGAAAAATACGTTGCCTACATTGGGATTAACTGTGAATTGAGTAAGTTCAATGGGACAACGTACATTCGAGTTCATTCATATTCTCATAAAAATATTTGACACTCTTAGACGACAGGGGAGGAAATGATCAAAGGAAATGTGTTAAAAAACAACATTTTCCAACCGACCAATTAAATGGGAAGATTGACTACGAAAAACGATCGAAAAATTGATGGTTAGGCGTGAGTATGGGCATGTAATGATATCAGATATGTTGATATTGAATATATAGAGGTTATTTGATGGGACGTTTTTGATACAGGGTATATCTGAGGGAAATACAATATACCAACCCGAGGGACTGTATGGACCGAGGGAAATACCCTGTATCAAAAATCCAGCATCTAATAACTGATTTATTCTATACATAGATTACGATCTAGAGTCAAGTCCCCTGGCTCAGAATCTACTCTCTGAATTTTTGACGTCGTATATCTGATAAGCGGGTGATATCAGCGGGCGATTATATATCACCCGCTGATATCACCCACTCACTTCAGATATAAAGTATATTCCTGCATGTATTGCACCTTCTATTTTTTTTAATGAATATTATGAAAAGGTAAATCATTTTGACTTGACTGTCTGTTCTATATATCGATATTGCTTTAGTGACATATGTGCATATTTATTAATTGTTTCTTTCCGTAGCTTGTTTTCATCTTTACAAAGTTTCTTGACCTAATAGCAAACACACCCGAGATTTTAAAATGAAGTCATTCACCAGCTGTTTTATAATTGAGTTACTTGTTTTTCTAGAACAGATCGAATTGGATTTGTTTTCTCGCTTCAGTTTCAACTGTATATTACGTGAACCTATAGAAGTACAGGGCGTTCAATAAGTACTGATAGAAATGCTGTAACTTTTGTAATTTTTAATATTTTAACTTTTCTACTGTACATTGTTGAGTACCCTCAATTTATGAGAGGCAAGACATGTCTGAGACGTGTACATGTAGGGCTACGACCAAGGCTGAATTAATACTACCCTGGAATAAACTTCATATTGAAAATCAAGCATGAAACAACCTTTATCTCCCGCTATGTATCTCCCTCTCAAATATTCCCGGGAAAAAGTTTTTGTTTAGTGTAGAAAGATTTCACTTTTGTGTATAAATGATATGTAATGCCAATGTAATGATGTTTTCGTGCACGCAGTTTCTTGTAAGCTTTTGCTCCAAAATCTTGGTCGTTCAATATTTTAGGACCGCTTAGCCTGGGCTAGCTCTGTAAGAAAGGGCTTCAGTACACGTACTGTCAGCTGTATTACAGTGTCACTTGTCATAGGATAAATTAGTTATGTGATGGTCCATTTTGAAAATGGGGTGTATCACTCGGAAAATAATATATTTTATCTCGGACCCTCCAGGCCCTCTGTTATGTATTTCCCTTAGGATATACCCCACATCTTAAACCTCCCATAAAATAATTTCCTATTTCCCATGATCATTAATCAGTGAGGTCCAACATTTAGGTTATATATATTTTGCAAGTGGATCCAAGAGTCAAAGTGGGCGAGTCCATTATTTTGCAGGGGTGGCAAGATACACACATTCCAATTTCCATTAATCGATTTACTAAAATCACTGGCTGGAATCTGTGTTCACAATACATAGATGTTCAATAGAGTAGACTCATGTGTTCACTGGGTACAGATCTTCACTAAAGAGGTGTTCATTATGACAGTTTTACTGTACTGAAATCACTCGCCGGGAATTCACAACCAAAATTGGAATGTGTGTATCCTGCCACCCCTGCAAAATAATGGATCCGCCCACTTGGTCTCTTGGATCCACTTGCAAAATATGTATAACCCAACATTTAAGTATTATCATGAATTTTCGAAAGGTATTTAAACGCCAGTGAATGTTTCTAACTTCATTGAATACATTTGTTAATAATGGTCCCCCAAAGGTGCTGTTCCTAGTATAACTATGAAGAGCGTTTTTTGCCAGTTGAATTTCAAGTTTTAAATTTTCCACTACTGGTACATCAGTAGTTTTTAAAGAGGTCAATGGAAAAATACAATTCTAGCTAGTATCAAAGAATGACTGGAATCATGGTGATAATTACACAATTGATCAACTTGAAATCTGATTGATTTTATTTCAAATATCAGCGCATTGTATACCATGGATAAAACAGTGACTGCATCTCGTCATTTACAGTATTTATTTGATCGTATTATTCTTCTCTGTTTTTCAGTTGGACTGCAGAATGTGTCAAAGTTATTAAGCTCAATATCCATGGAAAAACATATTCCTTACGATGTACAAAACGGCGGACTGAGTTTCCCACATGTTTGCAAAGCCCGTCAGAAGGTGGCGATAATCGTACCTTACAGAAACCGCCCTGCACAACTGGATATATTTCTGAGATTCATGCATAATTTTCTGAGGAGGCAGCTGTTAGAATATAGGATCATTATAGTTGACCAAGTATGATATTTAAGTTAAATAAAGCGTGATACAGTAAAACCTGTGTATCCGAACACTTCCAACTCTGAAGACTTTTTTCGGTCTCGTTTTTTCCTCCCATTGAATCCCATATGTTCAAAAAGGTGACTGGTTATCTCAACCCCAAGTCAACTCAATCCAGTTAAACTCAACCCCAAGTCAACCTAACCCCAGAAGAACTCAATCAATTAAAAGTAATCCCCAAGTCAACCCAACGCTGTCAAACTGAGCCCCAGTAAAACTCAATCCCATTGATTTCTGCAATTGTCTTTAGTTCTCTAGTTCATTTGCTTTGATAATCTAGCATTTTGCATATTTGAAAGTTAAACACAGATTTGTCATGGTATCAACACTTTTGGAAAAGCCTTGAATGGTCTCACTCATGGGGTTTTGTAGCATGACTAAATTTATTTGAATTTGATTTTCAATTGCAAATTGCTGGAATGACATAAAGCTACGTGGTCAAAAGGACTATAAATGTTTATTGAGAATGTGTTCACATTTCCTCAAATTCCAGAATCTTGTGAATGCAAAAACCTCGAAATGTGAGCACCTCCTAATCCTTACCCGAACGTTTTAGCCTATCCAAATGGAGTTATATGATTAGACAGGTTTTACTGTACTTGGTTTGGTGTTCGTTTATTATAATCAGACAGCACATACTGCCATTCATATTGTTACACTCATGAATAAACGTGATTAAATTGTGGAAAATGAATAGATATCTACATAACATACAGGGTGGTCCAATCTCGTATTTTAAAAATAAATATTGATTTTATTTATGAAAACATGTCATATTATATACCAGTGGATAGGGAATTTACTTATCTTTAATTTGGTATATCATAAGGTCAAATTTATTATGTCTGTCAACCAGCGTCCATGATATAAATTACGTCATTTTTGTTTCAAAACGGGTTTTCCAAAACGTGCTTATTTAGCCCTCAATTTTGGACTAACATGATCAATACCATCATTGATATGCTGTTGAGACTTTGAATGTCACTTCTTAATAATTTTGTCCTTAAACAGGCAATGCGCCTATTTTTGAAGGAAAAGGGACAAAATATTATTTGAGACGTGTCACTCACACAGTCAATCAAATATGATAAAAACTTTAATTCAGGATAATACTGAAGTGAAAAAAAATTACTCGCATAAAAACATCATTTGAAGTTCAGAGATTGAAAAAAGTGAATTTCCACTTGTGTATGTGTCTGTTTTAAATAACTCTTGGATTAAAAGATGACGTATGCCTGAAAATCCTGTCAAAAATGAATGGATAATTAATGCAAACAACAATGCCATCTTTCTATGGCATATATAAATTGATAGATCAAAAATATTTTTTCATGATCTAGAGCTTTGTTTTGTGTCAAAAGAAAGATCGGGTACTTATTAATCCATTTGAAATACTATGAAGATCAAAAGTGAGATTTCATTTACGCACTTTGTCCCTTTAAGGATTCATGGCACACCAATTCTGTTAGTTCTCCCCATACGTGGTATTCGCAGACGTTGGGTGATAGGGTGATCTGAGGAGGCAGTGATTAAGAGGGAATGAATCTAGGCATATTTTCTTTTAAACATTTGACTCTCTTGGTATATATGGCTTGGAACCCTATCTTGTTGGAAAAGGTAATGATTCGAAAATGACCTCATGTCAGGACGCATGGTATAAAAACAACGTAATTGGATCATCCGATGCTAAAGTCTGTGGCCACCACCAATTGTAAGAACTAACAGCGTTGGTTGACCATGATCCCATTACATCTACTCAGTTATACTTATGCGTTATAGAAGGAATTGTTGAGAAGTGGAATTCATAGTCTCAACAGCATATCAATGATGCTCTTGACCAGTTTAGGCCAAAATTGCGGGCATTAATTGATCAAAATGGTGGACATATTGAACGTCTGTTTATGTTAATAAAGTTGACAAAAAACTCGGTTAATCAGTATTTATTTTTGAACTACAAGTGTCCCATTTTTAGACCACCCTGTATAAAGTATGGAAACACCCGTTTTAAGTATACACGTCTTTTTAACTCTAAATCAAAGCTGTTTCATTATTATAGGTCGATGACACACCATTCAACAGGGGAATGTTGTTGAATATAGGTGCTATAGAGGCTGCGAAACTTTACAAGTTTGACTGTCTCATTTTCCATGATGTTGACTTACTCCCGGAGAATGACTACAATAGTTACACGTGTGTCAACAATGCGGCTCTCCATCTTTCAGTGCTTGTTAATACACATGGCTACAGGTATATCGTTTCTTAATTCTAACAGTATCTCCTGATAGAGTTGGATCAGCTAATTAAAATCAATATACTATGAGGTTATATAATGGTTCTTTCTGTATATCGTGTTTATACTCGAGTGAGTATATGATATATTCACAAGTGAGCGTAGCGAACGAGTGAATATATTATATTCTCACGAGAGTATAAAATGCACGATATACAGAATGAACCATTATATAATCTTATTATGCCACTCCAAGTTCAATTACAGTTGATTCGAACACAATCATAACAATTAAAAACCATAAAAATATCCCATTGACAGCCAACTCAATAATGGTGATGTTGATTTATGACGTCACTTGATTCTAGGAAATCATGATTTTTTTTCATTATCTCCCAGAATGCACTTCTACAGTGGTATACGCTGGAGTGTATACGGAGGAGTTGTATACGATGACGATATACCACTCTCCACTCTATATCGTTGTTATAGACCCATGTTATACAACTGTAATTGGACTTAGAGTGGTATAAAGTATGATACATGCGTATTTAAATGAATAAAACTAGAATATAAAATTGAGATGATGAAGGTAAACTTACAGTGTTGCGAGAGTATCCAGATTTACTGTCATCTCGTTTGTATTTAATGTAGTTTATCGCAGCAAAAGTGGTGTCCCTGATTAGGCCTAGTGATTTGGAAAATACATTTTTCATTTTTGTACGAATAAAATATGAGAGAATACGACACTTTTGACATTAATTTGGTCAATTAGAGTAGATATTCACGTAGAGAATTAACGCTCTCTAATATAATATGTCGCCCAACCCTCATGCCATTTTGTGAAATTCTTGTCCTACTTATCATTTACCATATGTAACCTGGAACCGCTTTTTATTTTTTCTTTCCCGAGACGTAAAATTACAACAATTTCCCAGAACGAAGTATTGTTGAGTTTACGTTCCCGTCAAGTACATGCAAATGTTTACTTTTGCAAAATTCAAATATATTAAGTAGTACACAATGACACTACACAGAAAGAGGAAATTTTCGTTTTTATCGTAAAATTCCTCCATCTAGTAAAAGTGGATTCCCCTTCCGAAAAGTGCTGAAATATTCCCGATGTAGAACAAAAAAAAACTCTTCGTTCTACTGATAAACCTGTACAATTATTGGTGATTCAACTGCTTAAAATAATCCTAAAATATAATACTCAGGAATGTAGCGAGGTAGGTATTTCAAATGTGCAATGCGTAGTATTTTCTTTAACTTTGTTGAAACCTTGACTGACCAATGGTTCGTGCGTACGACCACAACGTAAGTGGTGTCATAGCATACGATAAGTACGGCGAACATTTAAAGATAACAAATATTACTTATCAAAATGGTGACAGTCACGGTGACACCCATGCGGGATACTGTATTCTTCATAATGTAAATCAGACCGTTACACAACCGTGTTAACTCTGATCATTAATAATGTGTAAATCAGACCGTTATAATAATAATTCACGTTTTGTGCTAAAACTTCTTTGACTTCAGCTGACTACAAACGTATAATGTTCTTCCTTTGTATCTATAGATTGCTGTATGATAATATATTTGGTGGAGTGATGGCCATTCAACCTGAAAACTTTGTCAAGATTAACGGCTTTTCAAACCTCTTTTTTGGTTGGGGTGGAGAGGATGACGATATGTACACAAGGTAAGAAGCATAACATTTTTCTACAATTACAAGCATTAGAAACGATTTGTATTTTAGAGAGGAGGTGCTTTTCAAAGATGTCGAATTAGTTTCGGATGTTGCAATTTATTGTTTTTTTACAAAGGTATAGATAAAGGTGAAACAACAACGTCTGCTCATAAATCTTCGCATGATTTTCTGAGTATAGGAATTATGAATTTTTCGAGGTCATCGAAAGATTCGGGATTGTAACGATATTCTGGCTTTGATGGTATCGCTGCAAATTCTTTATCTTTTAATTCCTTGAGTTTATCCAATTCGGCCTTTGGCAGCTTTTTACCGCTCTCATCTTCGCCAAGCTGTTCTTTATTGTTGGGAAGGTCAAGAAGAAAGACGGTAGGTGCACCTGTCTCTGGATCGTAACTCTTAGGCTTTTTCAATAGCTCTGCTTGCTCAATTGTTTCTTTTGACATGGAATGTGGATGAGAAACCCCATCACTAGCGACAATTACGACAGCCTGGAATTAAGTAGAACAATGAAAGAGGACTGGGTATGGTCGCTTTTAATGAGAGACAATTGGGACCCTGATTTTTACATGTAAGAAAATCTCGTAAATACAGGCTCGTAGGGGTTCAAGACCCCCGAACCCCTTGGATTTTTTGGGAAATTAAAATTTTCGTTTATATAGAAGGTTCAAGTTATCAAGGTGCAAAATCCTACAGGTATCCTTTTAGGGTTTGGAGGCGAAGTCTTACGAGTTGCACGAATATAACCGAGGAAAAGCCAGACTTCGCGTGGTAATGGTAATCTTGTTGCTACCGAATTGACAATTAAGTTGAAGGTCCACTCAGTCAAACACCCGGAATTCCATGACAAACAAACTTGTCTGAACCGGGAATCGAACCCGGGGCCAATTTATTGCGGTAACCTTGAATCTGCCACTTAGCCATAGCGGATGGACTTACCAATGTGAACTAATGATTAGCGTTCTGATTGATGTTGGCAAATATCCGATCGTAAAGTTGAAATATGTAAGGAACATTTGAGCAAGTTAGGCGCAGGATTATCGTGTAAACTGCTCATGGAGTATGGGGGAGAAAAGCTATTAAATAAAGTGTCGCGTATCCAACAATTCAGAGAAAACTCTCTCCTGCGAAACACACCTTGGAGTAATTATTTTATCTGGCGATTGGGCTATCTGTGGGGAGCTCAGCATTAGAATCTGTTAAAGGATCTGTTACTTAAAGTATCCAAATATTATTCCTTACCTTTTTACCCTTTCTCCGACCACCTTTAATAGATAAAAGTATTTCTCTGGCCTCCTGCAAGGCAAGCCACGTAGCTGTTCCTCTTTTCGGATTCATTTCCATATTCGAAGCGGCCCTCACCATCTTCAAAATAATTGATTAAATGAGATAGTGTTATGGTAATACCTGTACTCAAAAAATAAATATGAACTTTTATACAGAGGACATTATCTTTAAATGCAACTCATAAACGATGGACCAGTTTTAGTCCCGATTAAATGCTCGACTTTCTAGTAACTAATAATATCACCATAATAAGGATTTATAACGTGTGTGTGTGTGTGTGATCAAATGTGATCTCTGTGCGCGGTACAAGAAATATGTTCGGAAACAAGGAAATGGTGGTGCGCGACATAAGATTTCACGTTCGCGATATGAGATTCTTGGTTCGAGTGCAAGGAACGTAGTTCGCGGTATCAGAACTGATGTTCGCGTTGTTGGAAGTCTAGGAGGCCTGATATTGGTCAAAGGAAAGACCTTGGTGCCTAACACCCAAGTCACATTTCTTGCGGCGACCGTACGGTCTATCCTTTCTGCGGTCAGTAAACATTTCTACGCTCGTCGTAGAATTTCTGCGGTCAGATACTTTTGCAGTTTCTGTTGATAAACGTTAATGTTTGTTTTTATTTTATTTACATTAGTACAATTTATTAAAGTTATTTATAGTGCTAGGATATTATATGAAATAAAAAGTGTTGATAAAACATTGACCAATAGTAACGTAATCTTTTGTAATCAATATACGCTGCTTTGTTAGTTCAGAGCAAATATATATAACAGTACACCTGACCTGAAAACTGTCCCAAAACCAAGTACTAAATCAAAACACTACGGCAGACGCAAGTCAACGTAAGCCCGACTTGCGGCCATCGCGGGACAGTTCTGCGCTGGCAACGGCCTGTTGATTTCTAGAGGGACCGTACGGTCTATAATTTTTGCGGTCAGTAACATTTCTACGGTCGCCGTAGAATCCTGCGGTCGGATACGTTTGCAGTCACAATTCCTACGACAGCCGCACGGGGAATTTTGAATTTCTAACGTTAATGCTTGTTTTTATTTTATTTACATATGTTTAGTACAATTTATAAATGAGCTAGGATATAATATCAAATAAAAAATGTTGAAACAATGGTGAAACATTGACCAATAGTAACATAATCTTTTGTAATATACGTTCAGTGACCTTACATCGTTCACAGCAAAGATATGACAGCAAACCTGACATGAAACACTGTTTCAAGGTACATACTAGCAACCTATCAAAACACTACGGCAGACGCAAGTCAAAATGTATGGCCATCGTGGGACCGTTCATCGGTCTGGCAACGGCCTGCTGATTTCAACGGGGACCGCAAATATTATAACTCCGGAAATTCAATGATTTAATTGATCTGCGGTTGACGTACGGCCGCAGTACGACAAATGTGACTGGGTTGTAAGATGTCAATCTTCATTTAATATGTTAGAGAAGTATTTTAGAATCAAAGAACTAGACTAACTTTCGTATTGCGCTAATACAAAATCAACGCGTTTTGGTATTGATACAAACTGGTGGTATGACATGCATGTAGAATGGACAAAATGTCTATCATACCTCTGTTCCCCTATTGTATGATGAAAGTTTAAGAAAATTGTGGACTTCAGCTCCATACGTTGATCCTGCCACCAGTGTAAATGCAGAGCCGAGCTTAAGACTTCTTATAATTTGTAATACAAAGGATCTTACTTTCATCTTGTCAACATCGCTAATTGATTTTGACATGTCAATTATAAAGACTAAATCAAGACCACACACTTGGACGTTTGTTTCGACTGAAATAGAAAAATTGTACATTTCAATGTATGAAAAGTGTATCAATTCAAAAATGTTCTACCGTCCCTATTCAAATGTTATTAGCTCACGTTTGAAATTGTTCAGCTTCGTCTACTGTCTAATTGGATGGAAACTATGTTTTGATTTACTTTGAATTATCCTAACAGACGAAGTTCGATAGGGATATTTTGAAGCCGTCCTTCTTACCGTCAGTCAGTCAGTCCGTCTAAAGTTTTTCATTTTAAGAAATACATAGTTTGAAATGTTGGTAGTATATACCATCTATCTATTTCACATATATATCGTGTTTTTCACCCTGGCCCCCAAGGTGAAATTTACGTTTTTTTATGTCCATATGATTTGTATCCTCCAACACATGCCTAACACATTTAATTTACTAAAAAACTAGATATAATTGAGAATTTATGTAACAGTCATTAGTTGTATTTCTCTAAATAATTATTTGAAATCGTATTGGTGCATAGCTGAAATCTTAATGTTCGGAGGATACAAAATATTGGCAGTAAAACCTAGATTCACTACAAAAATAACGATATTTTGTCTGATGTTTTCGTTGTCTGTGAAAAGTATTCTCAGGGAAACTTTCTTGCGAAGATTTCAACAGATTATGCAGCATTAACAATTCAACAATGTTAACTTAACCAGTGTTGGAGGATACAAATAATATGGACACATTAAAACGTATTCTGTTGAGCATGAAATATCAAACAATCCCCTTTTGAGAGCCAGTGTGAATGAAATGTTGGTCCCCCAGTTATTATGGTCTATTTTCTTAACAACCCTTACAGGCCCTGATTGCGTATAAGATAATGAGGGAAAGAGTTGTATTTAGGTCACCATATAAATCAATGGAGAGTAGGACCATAATTTGATAGGACCTCCTACCCTTTTACATCGGTTGCATACATTTACTTTATTAGCAAGATGGAAATTATTGACATCATGGACATCTATGGGTCCATGGTGAAATGAAGCCAAATAAGGTCATATTTTGAGATCAACGTTGATTGCGTTATTTTTAATTCTTGCATCTTACCCACGCCCTTTTCTTCTAATGTTTTTCTACATTCTACATCAAAGCGGGAACAGGGATATCGCATGGAAGTATCTATTCTTCTAAAACTTTCGGTCACACCTTTTCCATCTTCACAGTGGGCAAGCTCGTATCTATTTTCCTTGCACACTAAATAATTGCAGGATGAGTTTGCATATTTGTACTTGGAACCAGGCGTGCACTCTGGAGAAAAACAAGCATTTTTATTCGTTGATACTAATTGTATATGTTAAATTTTACTGTTTTCATTCAATCATTTGGGTCTTCTTAAAAAGTAACTCTATTGATAACATTAGAGAGTATGAGCGATTGGTCATACGTATGGGTTGCGGGGTTTCGATTTTATGTGGAAGCTTAAACTCCCTACTGACATTAGTGCGTGCGCACGACTCTACATGCGTGTGTTGACAATAAACACAGGGCTTTCATCAATGTACATGCGACGTGACATCAGAAAAGTCGTTATCAGGGTAATACTGAAATCATGACATAGAAGATGAAAAGTAAATGTGGATAGGCTTTGTCCACTTTTCAATTTTAATGAAAAAAATATTTAAAATGTCTTCTTACCTTGTTGATGGTCTCCCATTGCATAACGTACACCAACGTTCCCCCTCCTACCAGCCTTTTTGCGGGCGGCGACTGAAAAATAATATTCGTTTTCTAATACTTATCATCTCTCGATACAGGTATAAGGCATTTGATACGACAATAAACCAATAAACCTACCAAAATATATCAACATTTTCTTTCATTCTGACATATAGTTATGGTCTCCATACTTTTGTCTGTCAAAAAATCTTACAATTTCCAATAACTTAACAAGTACTGTTTAGACTGAAAATCTACAAATTCTCATTTTCAAATCAACATTTTGTCATGTTAAAGCCGTGTCTATCAGTTGATTTTGTCCTACTTCATTGAATTTGTAAACAGATCTTATCACATGGTTTCTGTAATATTTTATTTTATCCTACCTAAAGCATGTGGGCTTTAAAAGCGTTATGGTCATGTTTACATTCTGCGATACTTACAAAAGCCTCCTAGGCCGGTGGCTGTAGTTGTTTCAAGAACACAACATAGCACTATGATTACAGATGCAACGTAGGTCCTCATGTCTTAAGTAAATATTTCCTAAAATGCACATAAATTTTAAATATTTTAGAATTTTTAAATAAATCTCATTTGTTACCTCAAAAATACAAATAATATTGATGTTGGATTGTAACTGCAGAATAAATATAAATTATAGGAAAAATGATGTGTCGTTTAACTTTGCCATCTAAATATGATATTAGGGAGTTTAAGCTAGCAATGTTTTTCATAATCTAAACGTGAACAGAAAATATTTAAGCGATTTGGCGATTGGTCATACGTGTAGGTTGGCGTTTCAATTTTTATATGTAAGCCTAAACTTCCTATTCATTTTGTAAACCGTATGTTTTTTACATTGATAAATACGAAAAGTATTATTTTGTCTTCACTTTGGTATCGATTGTCTCCAATATTTGATATGTAAATTGGGATAAGTCAAAAGATATGAAAATAAAGTCATTTCCATCCCGTCTCCTAAGAGCAGTTCAATAATATAATATACAGGTTTTGTAGATAGAAAAATCTCGAAACAACTAGCACGGGCACAGAATCCAACAATGAGGTAATTTGATGACCAATTAAACTTTAGAAGAGGGCATTTATATCCAAAGAAACTTTGTAAGTTATGGATAAACGATGCGTCTTGGGCATTAGGAAAAATAATGGTTAAGAGGCGATAACTTAAGAGCCAAGACGAATAGTTTGTCTAACATAAACCACACACTATGTACTGAGTGTTATTAAAGATAAATTGTCCATGATTAAATTTTAGGAAATTTCTTTCGTATTGACTATGGGGTAAATGCATTGAGAAGGGAGTGCGTATAATTAGTTCAGCTATGCAGTGCACTGTATGTAACAGGGTTAACAGTTTACAGTTTGGTCTCTTTATGTTTACTATTCAACTATTGAAAGAGTGAATAGGGTAAAATTAGTTCAGCTTTAGTGCACAGCATGTGACAGCCAATCGTCTTTTGTGCCACACTGGTTTTGGATAATTAAAATAATGCACTCCTCTTTATTATAGCTAGAGATTCTTAAAAATAAGATACAGGACAATTTAAAGGGCAAAGGATGGGTATCGATATGGCGAACTTTTCGAACATACGTTTAAACGAGTCATCAAGAAATTCTGAAAATTTTACACATTGTCAATTTAATGGTCATATTTTGAATGGTAACAATATAATTTGATATAGATATATATATACTTTTCTCTATATATTGTTTTAGAAAACACATCGGACACGTCTTTTGTTCTTGGTATAAAATGTTCGGAATGAAATGAAATATCTTTCCGAACCTCATTGGAACAAAATGACATAAACACAGCGTGTTTATGTCTCTCAATATTGTAATTATACAAAGGAAAGTTTGGTTGATTTAAAAAAAGTATCTTGTTAATGAAATTAAAGGTTTATCTTAGTTTTTATCTATTTCTGAGGTTTTTGTTTTAATTTTTGAACACTTTTTCTTAAATCAACCAAAATTTCCTTTGTACAACTGTAATATTGGGAAGTCTAAGAAAATGTTGTTATATGCTATTTTGTTCAAACAAGCTTCGGAAAGATGTTTTATTTCATTCTCAAGAAATGGTAAAAAGGAACAAAAGAAAATTGCACTAAAAACAAAAGATGTTAACAAAAACAGTTATATAAAATATGTATAAATTTTGCATTGAATTGTTGTCAATCAGTCAACATTGGATAAAGGACCGTGTATTTTTACGGAATGTTTTCAATAATTGGTTCAAGAGAAAAACATTGTGTTGAATTCAGTTTTCCATATCGATACCAATCCTTTAGTTTCCGTATTGCATATTTCTGGCAAGTTGTCACCATGGCAGAGTTCACAGTAAAGTCCAGTAACTAAGTCAACATGAGGTGAGGTGGTTATTAAGATATCTCCGTTTTAAATAATTTTGTAAACGTTGTTCTCTTCAGGTGCCATTTTTTATAATTGAAAAACAAAATTGAACATTTTGCATTTATAAATTGATAAGTTTCTTGGAATACAACATAACTGTTAACGATTTAAGTCATTAATAATATTTCCCTCAGTGATCCCATGATAAATAGACATTAATGTTCAACCTTGTTTTCATGACTTTTAAACACGAGTCGACAATTATGTAGGAAAGTTCAATTCCAAATATCAGCGTGTAAACTCGTTTTTTCACAATATTTAGCCTTTTATCATGATAGATCGCCAAAATCTGCATGTATCTCTCAAATGGGGCGATATGTTTATAATTTAGAGATGTAAGCTCAAACAAAAATTCAAACTACCCCGGCGCTATTATTTTGATTGCACAAGACGAAATTTCGTTTCGTTCTCGTAATCGTAAGAAAGATTATTCTGCATTTTCAGTCAAGCCCTACTTACCTTAATTTTAAAAATATTTAGACGAGAGCAATTTCTCCCAAAATGTGACATTGCTGTTGTATACGAAAAAGTGAAAAACTCTTGGAACAAGAAAGGTTTTCTTATTCAAAATACTTTCAAGCACTTTAGAGACAGAAATTAGAGCTTGGATGCTTACTTAGCTTATAAGTAACAGAACGTTCTCGAAAGTTATTAAAATGGATCAAAAATCAAAACATCTCTTAATTTACAATTTCCAGGACTGGTGGTCGGAAAATGACTCCTATCTCGTTGAAGTGCATTCAGAACCAAATGAAAACATTTGTTTTTTTCTTCATCTGGCCACAATACATTTTCTCAGACTCTAATATGATACTTTCTTATCATTTTGTTACTTTCAGCGGATTTAAAATATAGATGAATGATTTAATGTCATTTTCACCAAAAGAGCTTCTTGTATATCTTAGAGATTGTCTTACCTGTGATAAATCCTAAATGTGGCAGTAGTTTCTATTATTCCAGTATTTAGAAATTATTCTCTATATTTTGATTAGGCAAAGTGAAAGACAACTTCCAGTCATCCGTATTTATATTGCATATTTTGTATCTGACTTGGCGATAATTTTTTTAATTATGAAATAGATTAAGTTCATTAATAATCAAGATGAATGATGCCTTTTGTCGTATTGTTCTATATGTCATCACGTGCATCATACAGGGGATGTTCAATAAGTTTCATCACAATAAAAATGTATATATGATTAATGATAGGTTACTTCTGTGGGAGAATTACATGGTTTAATTCCATAATGGTTTCATTTTAAGCAATTTAATTGATTTTTTGTGACTTTGTGATGTATGTGACAATACATTTTGTTACTTACAGAAATCACTTTGCATGTTGATGTCAGTTAGTCTTCTCAATTTTTTTTCCAAATCATTTTGTAAATAATACAAACCGTTAGACCAGGGTCCCGCTTCTAGTTGTAAAGGGGATCGTCGACCTTGGGAAGATGTTCCCCTTAGTAAATGGAAGTGGACCATGAAGTCTATCTGTGTCTGTTCTCTATATTCATGTTTTACCACTTGTTATCTATTTCTATGTAATAATCAATTATTATTATCTCCAAAAATGGAGGCGAAATAAATATAATAATATAATAATAATAGATAGTGACAATTCTCAAGGATCATCATTGACATGTGTAATCATGATGAAACTGGACTAAAATTCCAGCAAACAAAGAGATCACACAATTCCACACACTACAGTTTTCTATAGCTCTTCAATTATTTTCATTCTTATCTTTACACAAAGACATTCATAATTCGAATATCAACGAGGTCATTAAGATTCTGTAGGAATACAAAAACGTATTATGTATGATGTATTTTTGCCCTTTCTTTGGTATTGATAGAAATACTTTTTATAAAAATGTTATAGAAAAATGTTATCCAGTACTATCATCAGATCTTTTATCAACCTTTGTGCAAATTAAAACATATTGGGCCTTAGGAGAGGACATTTTCACATTGGGGGACAAGAAGAAGCTTTTAGGTTCGATAAATGTGTAAAGGGTCTTTTAAAATGTGTATATAAACCCCAGACCCATTAACATGTTTTAGTAACTTATATATAATGCCTAACTGATACATGCTTTTAAATGTGTTGTCAAATGTCTGGAAGAGCTTTGTACACTGAATTTATGTTCCGCTGTATTAAAAGCGTTTCAAATAAATAAACAAAAATAGATAAATAAAAATAGATAAATAAAAATGTAAGCAGCGACCGTTAATGACGATCACTAACATGAATCTAGCGAGAGAATATTCTATACAACCAAAGCCAGAGAATATGGAATACTGCATTATGATAAAAAATAGTAGAAGATCAAAATATCCGTATTGATATTACTATTAATTAATATTATTAGAGAGATTATTTCAATAAATCAGTTCCATAGTAGTCGGTAAATAAGTCGGTAAATACCTCGTCGTCAGAATATTATTAAAACGCTCATAACCGAACAATAGCTAACATTTTCGATGTACTTCAAAGAATTTGAATCAATAGAACAATGTTATTAATAAGTCGTGTCCATTTAGAAAAAGAACGAACCACTTTTACCTTTCCTTAAACCCAAAAACGAAAACGTGAGCAATATTTTATTTCTACATTGTATTAACAATATCTGACAAAAGTACTTACAAAAACAAATTAAGACACAATTATTAATGTATGAATATACTGAGTATTAGTTAATACCCAGTATAATTGTGTTCTGTTGCTTGTATAGATCTTTCTATGTGAATGGAAAGGATCCGTCACTATAAGTATATTAAAAGTGACCCCAGAGCATTCATAACTATTACGACATATAATATTGTATTTAATAAACAGTTAATCATTGCATAGTGTTCATGTACATTGTACACCCTGAGTGTTATTGAGGTCATCGTGGCCTTGTAAAGGTCAAGTCAGTGCAAATCAAACATTCTTGTGTGCAAAATCATCATTTATAAAATCTAAAATGTGAAAATATGATAAAGAATGTTGTTAAAAACTATTTTGACCTTAACCTTTGAACTTTCGAAAGTAGGTCAAACTTTCAAATTTCACAATTTTTGTTTTTATTTCTTTTATTTAGGTCCATTGTTTTAATATTAAATGCATC